TCTACTGCATTTATCTGGCAGATTATGACTTTACAAAACACACGATCAGTTATCATGGATGGTTGATGAAACTACTCCAGAGTGTTCGTAGAACCCAAAAGCACTGGACCTCAACCAGCTGTGTGAGATTAAAAGTGCTGATCCAGTCTGGAGTTACTTGAATGTAGGGATGGTTTGCCTGATTGACTGCTGTTCAGTTTAATTCTCTACATGGTGGGGGTCCCTGTAAAGCTAAAAGGAATGAAATATACAGTCTGTCACTTCCTTCACACCCTTCTAAATAAAACTACAGCATAATGTGAAGAATGTTGGAAAAAACGAGATTCATAAAGTTGTTTGATAAAATGCCAGATTAACTGATATGCTATCTGCACAAAACACATTTAGCATGATTTCAAATAAAAATGTTTTAGTAATACAACAAGTTCTGACTGTTAACTTAGTGGAACGTGTCCTTTATTAATGTGACAAATTAGGTCTGTGGCAAAGTCACGACAGAGAAGCTCACCGTGTGTCTGCACACAGAAGGCATCTCTGTTTGTACGATTAGCAAGAACAAACAAACATAAGAAAACCAACCAAAGTCAGTCTGATCAGAAAGTGACAAGGTTGAGGATTTGTGACTGTGAGGAAGGAAGATGGCTGAGTCGGCAGGCTGACAGCAGAAGATTCAGTTGTGAATGAAACCCAGAACAACAGAGGAAACAAGAGCCAGAATCCAGATACACCTCCGCTCACAGCCCGTTGGAAACATGGTCCACAAGTAAAGAGGAAAAGTGATGCAGCAGAAACCATCCAAGCTCTACATATGTGACAGCTGGGAGATCTAGTGGCCAGATAACATCCAACGCTGACCAACGTCAGACCAGCACTGCTCTCCAACTCTGGCCCTGTGTCATCAATGTAAAGTGTCTGTACTGTGAGAGGTTCAGGGACAGATCCTGACCTCCTGCTGACTCAGTGACCAGGCCTTACAGGAGGAGGACAGGTGCACTCCCCTTACAATGTGACAAATAGAATGACATCAGACAGGAATAGCTCGACTCGCCAGCCCCAGACTTCACATAACTAACCCGAACCCTTTGTCATTTCATTCTCTAACTCGTTTGTTATTCTACTTAATAAGTCGTATTTTTTTCATTTTAATTTTCCCATTTAATTCCTTTATTTTTAAACCACACAGTCCCTGATGCTTTGCCAGGAGTCCTTCAACGTGTGCAGCCACATGCTCCTGATGTTCTATCAGTCTGTGGTGTGCCGGGGAGCAGCCATGGAGGTGAAGGACGCCAACAGACTGAACAGACTCATCAGGGGAGCCCAGTCTGTTGTTGGCTGCCAGCTGGTCGCCCTGGAGGAGGTGGTGGAGCAGACTGACCAGACTGCAGGTCATCGTGGACATCATCTCCCACCTCCTCCATCAAGCTGTGGACAATCTGAGGAGCAGCTTCAGCAGCAGACTGATAGAACCCTGCTGAACGCCACCGGAGCTCTTCCTCCTGACAGCTACAAGACTTTTCAATGCTTCTGTCTGAGCACATTTGCACATTTCTGTTATCTCATATATTCTTGTAAATTTGTTGACTTTTTCTATATTTTCTATATTTTTATCTTATTTTTTTTAACCTTCATTTCATACCCTAATACTCTGTGTTGTCTGTTGGCTGTGTTTACCCCCTTTGTTGAACATTGCAGCTGTAACAGCTGAGTTTCTTTCTGGGATTAATGGTCAGTCTAAGTCTGATCTTGTTCACCTGAGCTTCATGCCACCAAAGCAAACTGGTTTGATTTTTTTATTGAAGTTAATGTCCAGTTTCCGGTCAGTTGTGACCTGCTGATGCAGTTTCTATCAATTGGCGACAGGGGTCAGTAGAAAGTATCGATCACTGTGGACGTCCCGGTTCTGAGAGAGAGCGGGCAGCTCCGTGCTCTTATTTTGAAGGGCCGCTGCCCCCCTTCCTGGAGTTCGGCGGCCAGCAGCGACCCTCTGCTGTGTTTCCATAGGAGCAGCCGTCCATCCGCAGCGGGACCAGACACATGGTGCGGGCCGTCTGAGGAGCGGCTCAGGTCCAGAGAGTTCGGAGCCCGGTTCGGAGCAGGAGGAGAGCGGAGCGCAGACACCCAGGAGGGCTTTTAAACCCGCTTTTTACGGTTCTCGGATCATAAACACCAAACATGCACCTACTGGGAATACCTCTGCTCCTGGCATACCTCCTCTACACCAACCGGGCCACCGACTTCAGAACCGGCGACTACTATGAGTACTACGAGCAGGAGCAGCTGGACGAGCCGGTGAGTGAGAGGAGAACCGGGCTGGACTGGGCTGATGAGGGGGGTTCCCCTCTCTGTCACACAACCAGGAGAGAACATCTGATCTACTGGCTGGGGTTAGCAGAGAGGGGCAGATGAGAGGGGCAGGGGCCACTGGGGGTCTCTACATGAGGACTGTGTGCGGTTCTGACTTGACCAGAACTCTTTCTGCACACCTCTGGATGAGCTGATGTTCTGAATCCACAGGTGGGCTGGTGGAGCTTCAGAGGGTTGATCCTGATCCATGAGCTCCCTGAAGGCATTTTATATGGAAGCCGTTCAGAACCACCCACACAGCGGTCCACCTTGGGTTCTGCTGAAAAGTGATTATTATCAGCTGGTGTTCGTTGAGCTGAAGCAGGAGTCCACGGCTCAGGGTGCCATCAGTCCTCATGATGAACATTCAGAAACTCAAATAATCTAATAGGAATGTAACGACAAATGCAACAGAGGAGGTTTTAAAACCTCGACTTTACAGAAGTTCTCTTGCTGTGGATTCTTGAATTGTTCTTCAGAGTTTAGGATCAGTGACTGAGAGAGACAGGCAGCTCCCATCCAAGCCTTTTCTTAGCTGCATTATGGCATTTTTAGAACTGCACCTCTTTATCTTTTTACCCCGTATACATCCTGCCGGTGTCCATGCAAACCCAGACAAACACCTCGAATACCAAGAAAACATCCTTCAGTAATCAGACGAGGACTTTCTCCATCTCACCCAGTTTTCAGGATTACCTCAGTTCACATTCCTACTTTTATTTCCCTGAATGGCTGCGGATGAGTGAAAACAGAAGGCGTGCTGGTAGCAGCCAGAACCGGTTCTGTTCCATGGTGTTGCTCACCGATTCTGTCCAGGATGTCATTAGATGTTCGGGCCAGACAGAGACCCTCAGGCACCGATAACCCGACAGTTCATAACGCAGATCTTAGCTGGCTTTGGTTAAACGGTTATTGTTCATCTGTCCGGCGCTGTTATAGCAGTTGGAGACACTGAAACACGCTTTCCTTTAATGTCATGCCAGCGCCACAGATTGGGAGGAAGCCTGTAGGGGTTTGATCATTTGATCACAGTCGAGTCCTAATTGGGATGATGAGTTTCTCTTTTAACTCTCGTAGCTGTTGGGAGGAATCTGGACGTGTCTGGGGATTAAGCAGTGACGCCTCTGTCAGATTACCATCCGAGTGTTTCCAGCCCAGTCTCACACCAGGATGTGTGATATATCTCCTCCGTCCTCAAACTGAGACGTTGTTTATGGGCTGTTCTTGTGGCCGGACTCGTCACCCCAGCAACCTAGAAAGCAGCTCTGTGGTCAGCGTTCGCATGTTTTCAGCTGTATTTAACAGGTACAGTCGAACACGCGTCCTCACCACTGAGCCATCAGGTCGCCCAAAAGGAGTCAGAGAGACTGATGTCCAGTTACTGCAGTGTTTAGTTGTGGTTATGGGTAATAAAAGTGGCACAAGTAGCTGATATTGAATGACAGTTTTGCTCCAGTATTAAAACGTGTGTCTTATGTTTGCTCAGCTTGCTGCTGCTTTATGTTGTAAGATCTGCCACAGGTTAGTACGAGGTACAGAAAAACAGAGTAAAGGAGACGGGCCTGAGTCATTTTTCTCCCCTGAATCCCTGGACTTGCGACATTTCACTTGTTGTGGAGGAAAAATTCCCGTCAGTCTCTCCAACAAACCTTATCTCATTAGTCTTCACAGCTTTGTGGTTTCTCTCTGGCTTTATCTCTCCTCCATGTTTTTATTGGCTTCACACGTCTCGTATTCCTTTAAACTTCCAGGACGTGAACAGTTTTTGCTGTTGCGTTGTTCTAATAATACAGAAACTTGTTCCCAGATTACCAGATGAAAGAGGCTTTAGCTACACGTGGCAACACAACGAGTAACGTCAGCGTCTCAACAAACACAACACCACAGTCAACCATTAGCTGGCTTGTGCTTGTTGTTACTGGTCGTTATACAGCGTGATAAATGTCATGGATCTAAAACTAAAAGAGTGTTTAAATAACTGAGTGGCTTTCAGCTTCAGTTGGAGGGATGATGTTAACTCTGAACCCTACCATGCTCCTGGTGTTAACATGCAGCACCGTCGTCACAACACTTCTGTGTGCACATGGCTGCACTGGACCCCCTGAAGCAGTGAAAACAGTAACTGGTGTTATCACCTTCTCTTTCCTTTTTTAACTTATTTATTACACCTTCCATGTTTGGTGGCTTCTTCATTTCTGCCTCTCTTGTGGGTTTTGAAAGTAGGTAGAAGAAGATTGGTTTTAAGAGAAATCGAGGAAGCTCATTTCAGCCGCTTGTATCTGTGACCTCCTTCTTTCGGTCACGACCCAAAGCTTGTGACCGTAGGTGAGGGTTGGGACGTAGATGGACCGGTAAATCTTCACCACGGCGGTCCGGTACAGCGCCTGCATTGCTGCTGGCGCCGCACCGAGCCGCCTGTCCACCTCGTGCTCCATTTTCCCATCACTCATGAACAAGATCCTGAGATACTGAAACTCCCTCGCTTGGGGAAGCCACGCCGTTACATATGCGTTATATTATATTGCAGGTATAACACAATGTTACATAGACGTTGTTCTGTCATTAGTGACACTGAATGTTGAATTGCTAATGTAGTGAAACCAACTGAGCCAGTGGAACAAACCCTCCTGAGTGCACACAATAAAAATGTTGTCCACTGCTCTTAGTAGGGATGAAAGCTTAAAACAATCCTCCAGGAGATCAGTTGCCACAATAACCATCAGCACTGCATTAGTTATTGAAATGATTGAAATCCTGTGGATGCTCCATATTCCAATGAGATTGTTTTTTGTTGCTTTGTTTTAATCACGGCTCTGAATGTTTGCTGCAGATTTACTTTAGAAATATGAAGATCAGATAAAGTAATGACTGGGTGACATGGCAACCGAGCTGCAGTGTTTCACTGTAAATAACCTGTAATTGAGCAGAAAATGGATGATCGGTTAAATATCTTCACCAGAAGGCCCGGTACCAAAGGTCCAGAACCTACTGTTCTGAGCTGGGCAGCACACAGACCCGTTTCAAAGGTTGAGCCTGAAAACAGTTGTGTGCTGTTGTTAAAAAGGTTAATGGCAGCGCTTTTTTAATATGTGTTGCCAAATGTTCAGGGCTGTTCTTATCTTTGAACTGCTGCATTTTTCCGTTTCTTGGCCTGATGTTCACTCACCAGTGACCTCTCTGACCTGCAGATGTCGGCTTCATGTGACTTTGAAACGTCCACATTGTGGAATGAATGACTTCTTCCTGAAGATCAGGTCTCCACATAATAACTTGTTTTCTTTACTGTCCTACGGGTAAATCTGAATTGGCATTACTTCCAACACTTTCCGGTTGTTTCTACTTTGTGAGGAGAAAGTCACCTACATTATGATGCTTATCTTGGAGGTAAGCGGCTGCCTGGAATGCAGGAAAATCATTAATCAACATAAACCACTGCTGCAGGATTTGAGCATTGGTTTGCAGCAATGAAACATGCACATATTTTGTAGTAAGTGGCTCGAAATATGCAACTATAAAGGAAAGTATTTTGCATTTGCTGTTTCATGAGTTTTTCCAGATTGAAAGGTTAAAATGTGAACTTGTCACCCAGAGGCTGGAGCTCCGTGAACATGTTTATGTAACAGTGGTTCTATTGGGGAACAGATTTAGGATAGAGCTCATTATGAAAACATCTCAGCAGCCATGTTTCTGCCCTGACAACACTTGATCATGCTGAGTCCTGGAGTTTCCATCCAGCTGAACAGAAACAGCGTGAGTTATGTTTCAGAGATTCATTTTTACTTTCAGTTTTCCATCCAGGAAAACCTTTTAAAAAACGATCGCCAACATTGATGAAAAACCGTCCTCCGGGCTAAACACTGCTGCTATCTTTCCTTATGTCGTACTGATGGTGGTTTGTCACTGTTTGTGGGATTATGTTGATCCATCATTGACTTCAGCATTGTCAAGATGAATCTACAATATGTGTTCTCTGACACGACGTACTCACCACTGTCTCTCTTTCATCTTTCATCGTCTCTGTTTATTCTGTTTCCTCCTTTGGCCTCCTTTCTCTCTCCCTCGCTGGCTGTATCTCTTGCACATATTTCACAACCCCCTGGATCCAGCAGAAGAATGCGGGGTGCAATTAGCAGCCATTTTGAAGGTTTTTTTTGCTGTTTTTCTGTGGACTGTCCAGTTCAGACTCAGGCTGCTCTGCCTGAGTCTGGAGATACATGTCCATCACCTCCAAATACAATCTGTGTAACTTACTATAAATATCAGCGTAAGAATGAGGCCCATTTGGTAAACTAATCAGACTCTGCCAAAAACGCTACAGTAGGAAAGTCTGAGGAGCGAATTGAAGAGCTGAAGAAGCAAATCATTGACTTGAACAAGTCAGGAAAGTCACTTGGAGCCATTTTGAAGATGCTTCAGATCCCAAAATTACCTGAGCAAACAATTGTTAAACTATAAAGTGCATGGTACAGGAAGAAAACACAAGCTATCACCTGCTACTGAGAGATGGTCAGGATGGTAAAGAGACAACCAAAAACCGTCAGAAAGCAGTTCTGCAGCTGGAACACAGCTGTCAGTGTCCACAGTGTTTTACATCACCGTGAGCTGAGAGGCTGCCATGTAGGAGGGAAGACCGTCCTCTGGTCTGTTACCGACTGTACAATCATCCCATTGGTACCAGAAGCGACACACTTCCATCCTACTAGGCGATGCCATCTGTAATGACACCTGGTACCCTGAATTGTGTCTTTTGAGTTAAGTCGTGTGATTGCAGCCATCAACATAATCCTATTGCTCCATTTTTTTGCTGCCCTCATGAAGTCCTGGACTGTTTTATTTGTTGACATGCTTGCCTCCATCTTAGGATGCTGGAAGTAACTCGTTTGGATGTCAGAACTGTGGCTGCAGCATTTTGTATCATCTGAACGTTTTTAAGGGAGTTATTGGGA